TTGTTCCTCCCCCCCTGCTTTGGGAACCCCCCCCCACAACCCCACCCTGCCTTTCCCCTTAAAAAAAAAAAAAAAAAAAAAAAAGCACCAGTAGCAGGAGTCTCCAAGGAATAGTGCTTGGCCTGGTCTGGCAAGGATGGGGGGTGGGGGTCATTCACCAGCAAGGTTTTTGGGAAATGTACCCCCTACCACACAAGCACCAGCAGGCTCTCTGGTATCACCATTATGACTGGCAGTGTTCCATGTCTTTAGAGTCAAGACAAAACAAATTTTCCAAGACAAAAAAATTCACCGTGTTTATGTATATTTGGAACCAGGAAAAGGAGGAGGAGAAACAGACCCGGAGGGCTCTAGGGATCACTTGTTGCAGGTACCACTTAATTGACTGATGGGTCCAGCTGCACCATCATCTTCAACATGGAATTTCATGAGACTCTTTTACAAACAGAAGCAGCACAACCCCGAAGAATCAGCTCAGCTGAGTCATTTGAGAAAATTGTATTTTAAAGGAGAAATAGCATATATCTACCACTGCATTTGGTGTTACAGCACAGCAAGGCAGCAGGAGAAGAATCACACAAATATGACAGTAAAAACGCCCACACCTTGTGGCCAATTCAAGATCAAAGTCAGTGTGTCCCTCCGAGTTTGGGGAAGTAACTAGCCAAGCCCAGAAATTGTTTTTCACTCACAGGTGGAAGTTTGAGACAGGTTTACATTTCTTCCCCAAAACTTAATTTACTATGAGCCCATTAGGAGAAGAGGGTATCTGAGGATGAGGAGGGAAGCAACATCTCAGGGTAGGATACAAGGATACAACAGTTTTTAGCACATCAGTCACACTCTATATAAGCTTGAGATTAATTCCCAGAATCCTTTGCACACTTATTCATTGCTTTGCTCTTCGAAATGAAGTTTTTTTCACCCCTGAGCCGACTCCATTGCGAAAGGATCTTTTCATTGATGTCTTCTCCAAAACTGGCTTTAGGAAAGCTAGTCCATTGCTCCCCTCCAGCCTGCTTGGGCAGCTGCTCAGCAGGATGAGAAAGTAATCAGGTTTCCCAGGCACCTGGTGATTTAGATGGGGAAGGAGGGTTAAAAGTAATGATTTTCAAAACCTTTATGGCTATGAAGTCACTATGTCTCACCTTCTTAGTGGTGAGAAATGTTGCTAAACCACAACATGTACTTAACATAGATAGCGTCTGGGTTACAATTGGCTTGTCTACCTTTTATTCTGTCACTCAGCATTTGCATTGAATATTCCACATAATAATCACATTGCCATTATTTTATAAGGCATATTGAAAATTCACTCGGGGGCTAGGAATGTGGTTCACTTGGTAGGGCACTGGCTAGCATACCCAAAGCCCTTGGTTCAGGCCCCAACACTACATAAACTGGGTAGGATGGCATACACCTGAAATCTCAGCACTTGGAAGGTGGAGACAGGGGGATAAGAAGTTTAAGGTCGGGGCTGGAGAGAAGAGTCAGTGATTAAGACCTCTGGCTGCTCTTCCAGAGGACTTGGGATTCAATTCCTAGCACCCACAAGGCAGCTCACAACTATCTGTAACTCCAGCATATCCAACACATATTCTGGGCTGAGTTATTCCTGTGACAGTGAGTGGTGGTGAAGTACAGAATCAGGGAAGAGTGAAAAGCAGGAGAGAAGGAAACACTCTGGCCTGCCCAGCTCTGCCCCTACATTGTTTGGGAGTTATAGGAGGGAACACAATACACTTCAGAAAGCCATTTTTTTATAAGTTATTAAGTAGTTGTAGAAACTGCTATTGTTATTTGAGTAGGAAAACAAAAATATATAACTACTAAGGTTAGAAATTATTTAGACATATGTGGAGAAAAGTTAAGGGTAGCATCTTATGTAGTATATATGATATCCTGGATACCAACCACTTAAAAAGAAATAAATTATAAATACTTGTGCTATCAGATATTGGCATCTCCCTTACACAGACCACTATATTATAAAAGAAATGTTTTCACTGATACATATATCACATTTAAATTGTGTTTAAACATGTGCACACAGTAAAGTTTCAAATAAAATTTTGATTCTTAAAGTGGCCAGTACTACAGATTATATTCAAATATATGCTAAGCAAGTTATCTACTACTAAGCTACACTCTAGCGCTGAACTTTTTAATATCAATTTAATTTTTCTCCTTCTCATGTACCTAAAGGTCATTGGATTTTCCTCCTCATATTTTTCTAGAAGATAGATTAAAAAGTAATTTCTTCATGAGTTGTTTTTCCTAAAAGTTATTGATTTTAAAAAGTCATTGAAAAAATACTTTTCTAACAATTTTTCATTTACTTTTAAAGAAAGAGCTATTGCATATGAAAATATTATAGGTCAAAATAATCCTAAGAATGAGCAAAACTTCCAATTTTTCAGTGTTCTCACTTTAGATGTCAGCAAAAATTCTTGTCTTGAGAATTATTCTTTTTAAAAGTTGTGGTGTGTTTGTGTGTGTGTGTGTGTGTGTGTGTGTGTGTGTGTGTGTGTGTGTGTATGTGTGTGTTGTTGTTGTTGTTGTTGTTGTTGTTGTTTTCTGTTTGATCTGGGAATAGCCAAAGACAGTTTCATAAATATTCGTTATGTTAAAAACCAATCAAAAACTCTGAGTTTAACACCATTCTGTTTTCCCCTGTATTAACATGATAGATAAATGCTGCCTGTGTGTGTGTGTGTGTGTGTGTGTGTGTGTGTGCTGTTGTTGTTGTTTTCTATTTGATCTGGGAATAGTCAAAGACAGTTTCATAAACATTGGTTATGTTGAAAACCAATCAAAAACTCTGAGTTTAACACCATTCTGTTTTCCCCTGTATTAACATGATAGATAAATGCTGCCTATTTTAAATATCCAACAGGAGGGATTCATGTATCAATGCAGAAAGGAAGCAGCTGACTCTTTCCAGAATGCTCATGATACAGCCTCTATCCCACAAAAGGAAAGTGCCAGTGCTGGTTATGAGACCCTTAACTCATCCCTAAAAAGACCTCTGTGTACTGGGCTGATCTGAAGGCAGCTAGGCCAACCCGTCATCAGGATGCCACTGAGCCTAGCAGAAGGGCTCCATGAAGCTCTGAAGAAAATGATGAAATCCTGTGTGATAGGCTACATCATCACTCACCCCAAACAGTCAGGTTGCCATGAACACCATCCATGATATTACTGCCTGGCGGGGCTGTAAGGCCCCAAACAGTCAGGTTGCCATGAACACCATCCATGATATTACTGCCTGGCGTGGCTGTAAGAACAGCATCCTCATGGGCAAAGGTAGAAATATGGGCAACATTGTGAAAGGAGAAACACTGCCTTATGGCCTAGGAGGTCTCTGCATACTTCAGAATAAAGAATTCTTAATTTAAAAACAGCTACAGACAAGTGCCTCTTGTTCCAAAGTGCAGTGAGAAAACCTCCTTTAGGAACAAAGAATAGAATGCAAGCAGTAAGACACTTGAGAAAATGTACCCATTTATGGATTGTGAGTCACCCTCTTGATCAATGCCTTGTCATAGAGGATCAATGAGTGAAATAGTGTTGAATGCTCATAGAAGGGAAAGGCAGAAGGGAGGCTGTATTAAATAAACAGGAAATAGAAAAATGACAGATGTGAAGATCCACGAGAAGACCGATTATATAAATAACTAGATCACGGTGCTTTTAAGGAGTTGTCACTTGGAATTTCTGTGGCCTCTCTTTATCCTAAAACTAGTTCCTCAAATTATGATGAGCTCAGTAATTACACCGTGACAGGTTAAATTTTAGTGAAGCAAAGTTAAAGCCCACAGTGGCATTAACAACCAAGGATGTTTTAACATTGTAAAGATAATGACATAAAACAAAGACGGATGACATAGAAGGGATTTAAACACCCCAAAGAAAGGCATTTGTTTTTCTGAATGTCTTGAGCAGCTCCATCAATACTCTTGAATAAATACATGCGTAAATATTCTAGGCAATATTTCATTGGAATCTAATATGTTGCCTACATTCTTCACCTGAAAAAGAGCCCACATTTTGGTAAAATTAGGAAATTTTCTGCTTCTGAAAAACGACCAATGCAATTTCAATGCAAAATATTTACTATGATTAAGAGTGGATATATGTGGAATAAATGGATTGTCATGGGCCAAAATGAATATTTTATATTGGAACAGCCATTTCCACATGCAGGATGCAACCCCCAAATAATTCACAAAAAAATTAGTGTATTCCAGGGCTGGGAGAGATGACTCAGCTGTTAAAGGCTAGACTCACAACCAAAAATTAGTATATGCAAGAATTGCCTATTGTCACATATAAATTTCTGTCTTACTAATCTCATGAAGCTGTTTACACATACTTTTCTCTAAAGGTCTAAAATAAAATGAATTTTTTTGTCACATATTTCTTAAGGTTCTTTTGAATTTCGGTACTCCACCACCCCACTCACTGATCTAGCCATCAGAAACAGCAGTGAACCCCTTACCTTGGAAGAGAGAACTGGATAACCCCAAAACATGTGCACTGTGGACAGCGACAGAACCAAGATGAGGTTGAGTTTTAACGAGCTGCAGAGTAGAAAAGACAAAAGCTCTGGTTAAATCTCACATAAGCAAATACAAGTTTTAAGAACATACAAAAATTCAACAGTACTCTCGGAAGAAATAAGCAGTTCTTTACCTAGTCATTTTGGATTTTCTGAGATCTGCACAGATGGTTTTTTATTGCCAGATTCCTCACACTGGCTGTCTGATCCTCCTTGGGTGGCTCTTTTATATCGGAAAAGTTCAGAAGTAAAAATACCACTGAGATCCATCCTGTGTGAGTGGATGGCCTGGCTGTGGCCTTTTGTGCTTGTTAAGTAAGAAAAGGACAGTAACATGGATGCTGTCACTGAGTTACCGGGGGTTGACTTCATTCAAGTTTGCCATTAAGAATGCCCTTCAAATACTCAGTCCCCCCTGTGACATGGTGTCCAGGAGCCTCAAGAGAAACTTTAAGTATTGTTTTTAGCTGGGAATTTAAACACTTAAAAAGGATGACAGTGTTTCCTTGAATGTCAGAGACTAATACAACTGAAATCACCAAGGGACTCAAGAGTGACTACACAAATGATGCAGGCAGGTCAGCTGTCTACTCTCCATTTCCTTCCTTCAGAACTTCAACTGTCAAAGCAAAACAAATGACACATCTGTTGTCTCTGGTCCCCAAGTCAAGGAATGACACTGTCTGTCCTTTTCTGTAGACACTGTTGAAGTCCTGTGTCCAGACTTTGGTGAGCCTCTTCATTTATCCTTCCTCTCCTCTCCAGGAGCAGAGCCTCCCAGTAACCTGGCTGCTCAGGAGTCTGGTTTCCCTTACACATCAGTGGGCAAGGGTGTTAGGAACTTGATTCTGGGGCATTAAGCAGGGACAGATGTTACTGAGGGCCACAGTGGAAAATACCAAGGGAGGTGCTTCTGCTGTTGCTTCTGAAATGGTGCCAATGTCTTTCATTACAATCCAAAGATGGGAGATGGCTCAGTTGACAAAGTGCTTGCCACACAAGCATAAGGATCCAGGTTTGGACTCCTAACAACCACATAAAAAAACAGGTGCAGTGATGCACATTTGTGACTCCAGTGCTGGTGAACTGGAGACAAGCAGAACTCTGGAGCTCATGTCCAGCTAATAGACTAATGAGCCTCTGAATGATGAGTGGCCCTGTCTCAAATGTAAGGTAGAAAGTAACTGAGTAATAGCAACTTCACATTTAAACACACATGTATGTCTTAAATGTGCACCCTCCCACCCACCCCCCCACACACACAAAGCAACGGAAGAAAATCTTTTCCTCTTCAAGATCCTCACCTTTTGGAGGGCAAAGATAGGTATCCTGAGTCTGGGACATAGCTACTTGTCACAGCTACATTCACTCCATTCTCTTGGTAAAGGTCTCTCGGTATGACTTTCAGGCAACTGTCAATCATAGTACCAGTGTGACTACAACAAGGACAAGGAGATGACCCAGCTCCTGAGAGAACAAGACTAGAGCCATGCCTGAGGCCTGGGGCAAGTGTCCCAAACACTGCCGTTGAGAGCTCTTTGGAGGACATCATGCAGACATTGGGAGACAGAGGGGGCACAAGGAATTGAGGGTATGTGTTCTCTTTTGGTTGTTCCTTAAGACCAGCTAACACTCAACGCACATGCACACACACACCAAAAACAACAACAACAAAAACAAAATAGAGAAAAAAGAGCTTATATCCAGCAGCAACCTTTTGTTGACTGATGAGCAATAGACTGGTTAGATCTGGGAAAGCGCTTGCTGACAGATTCCTAACAGACTCAGCTATACTTAGTCTCTGTACATGTACTAAAGCTAAAACCAGAAAGAGGACCAGAAGAAGTTTGTTTAAGGGTCATGCAAATGCCACATCACTTCCCTTCTTCTTGGATTTGGCAGGAGACTAGAGATTTCTTCAATAGGAAAAGATTAACTATAGCAGAGTCCTAAAAACAAAGGCACAACTAAATGCCATAACCCATGGGTCTGTCTCTAATGTGGCTCAGCTCCTAGCACACTTCCTGAAGGTCCTCCACCATCAAAACAGGTGACAGAAGACCCTTTTCTGAAGCATCTGCCCAAGACAAAAGTAGAGAGCTGCAGGAACTTCAGGGATGCTTAACAAAACCATATCAGCTGACTGTGGGATGCTAACCTCCCCTGTTGCCAGCTCTGGTAACACAAAATTCTATTGGGAATATTTTTAGTACCTGATCTTAAATATACATACATGACCAAGACAGAAGTACAATAAATAAAGAACACCTACAGAGCTATACCCCAGCCAGAAAAAAGAGGATAAAAGACAGCAACACGAAAAATTGTGAAGTAATGAAAGAAACAAGAAATACAAAAATTGTAAAGGGGAAAAACTTAAAGAAAACAACTTGATATTCTCAGAAGGAAGACAGAATATATTGTATCTATGAAACAAGAAAAGAAAGTTATATAAAAGGAAAACTGGAGATGACAAATTCTCTAATGAAACTTAAATGAAAGGAAACTTACAAGTATTGAAAAAGAAGGTTAACTAAGTCTTCTAGACATTCAATTAAAAAGACAAAAGAGAAAGTTTGTGGTGCTAGAAGAGTAAGACCAGCATGATTCCACACAGACGTGGTAGAAATTCTACAAAAGAGGGCAGAAGGAATGAGAAAGCAGAGAAGCCATGAATAAAATATCATTTCTCCCAAAGTTTTCCAGGGAGAAAGGACTCAGCCTTACCTAACAGAATCAATAAAACTCACCCCATCCAAAAGCACACCACCACAAGATTTCAGAAAATTGGGTCCAATCAACTTCTAGATTACCTACAAAAACTCAATTCACTAATACATTTGAACTTCTCAAAACCTCTACTGAGGAAGTAGAAGACAGTGAAACAATGCTTTCCAAATTACTATTTCCAAGGTAGAATTGGAATCCAATAATTCAGAATTTATTCCTCTTCATTAACTGTAAGGCTATAATGAATATTTTTGTATGTTTAAGACTTCAGAACAATACTTCCCACAAACATTTTCTCAGAAAGCTACTTTCAGGATATGGTCCACCAAAGTGCATAAAACTACAAAGAAGAAGATGAGGGAACTGGCAAGAGGCGAACACAGGAGATGAAGGAATTCCCAGATGGCAATCAAGAGTGGTCCCCAGTTCTATCTGTATACCAAACCATTGGGATGGGATAGAGGGCTCTGAATGAGACATCTGAAAGAGGATAAAAGCCAAAGAAGGACTAAAACCTTGTAAGGAGAATGAGAGCCCTGGAGAATTGGAGATGGGGTAGTGATGAGTACATAGCAACCCAAGCAAAAGAAAGAGAGAGATTTATTCACTCCAGGGAAACTGATGTCTCATGTGAAGGAAAATAGTAAGCTAACTACTTGACTCCACTAGGAGGACATGTGTGCAATCTTAATGACGTTATAACCGAGGGGGCTTCTAACCCCAAAGTAACTTAACTGTCCTGAAAGTTATTTCGTGCATGAACACGTGTCTGGTAAAGTGGATCATCTAATTTCTGTAGAGGAAACTCAAGATATAATGTTGAGAAATGAAAATTCAAACCACACTGTGTATTCAGAGATAAATACAAAACTAATCAGCTTTAAAAGGTTGAAAGTGGTGGCTCTGGAGGAGGAAACTGAACTGGAAATGGGTTATTATCATAAAGTGCTTCCTTGGATGATTTGACTCAGTAGAGTGTACTGTTAGCTATGATGAAAGTAAAGCTTTGAGATTTTACAACATTATGGAGTAGTTATGTCTGGAGACAGCAGGGGTCATCTTTACTGCTGCATAGGAAAAGACTGCTTGATTTAAAAGAAAAAAGCCCACACCAGAAATCCAAGGAATGGAAAGGGAAAGAAAAGGAATAAAGGACAATGGACAGAAGGGGAATGGGCGAGGGAAAAGAAGAGAGATATCATGGATGGATGAAGAGAAATGGAGAAAGATGAAAAGAGGTAAAAAAGATTGGTATGAAGAGATAAACAAAAAGGAATTTGAGATATATGGAGAAGAAAATGAGAAGGTAGGTAAAAAAGAGATGAAGAAAGAAGAAAACTTAAGTGTATGGCTCTTCAGTCAACATTCACTTGTAGAGGAAACAACAGGAGGTATCACCTGCAGCTCCTTTTCAAATTCAGCTGAGCATCCCTCTTGACATAGTGGCCATCCTCTAAACCCAGGAGACAACCTTTATATGACTAGCCTTGGTTCTCAATGGGACACACTTAGGAAAAGGGAGCCTTACCTAAGGACGGACTTTTATCGGTTGGCCTGTGGGCATGTCTGTGGGGTATTTTCTTAATTGACAGTTGATGTAGGAAATTCCAGTGTACTATGGGTAGTGCCATCCTTAGTCAGTTGGGCCTGGTCTATATCAGAAAGACAGTTGAATGTGATACTGGGAGCAAGCCAATAAACAGAGTTCCTCAGTGGACTCTGCTTCGGTTCCTGCCTCCAGGATCCTGCTTGAATTCCTGCCCCAGCTTTCCTCAAACTCTCTCAAAGACAGTTGAATGTGATACTGGGAGCAAGCCAATAAACAGAGTTCCTCTGTGGACTCTGCTTCGGTTCCTGCCTCCAGGATCCTGCTTGAGTTCCTGCCCCAGCTTTCCTCAAACTCTCTTCTCCCCCAAGTTAGTTTTGGCCAGTATCTTATCAGAGTAACAGAAAGCAGGTTAGGAGGCCTGTCACCATGACTCAGGCATGACTCTTTCTGCATTGGCAGCTGACACACAGAGTCATAGATACGATAATGTGATGAGCATGTTAAATGAGTCCTTCGAGGCCTGTGTCTACCAATTCTACCTTTTACAGGTATTTCAGGTTCCTAGATCCCACCATGCTATGCCTGGGATTGACAGAGGGGTGTAGCCAGCCCACACCAGACCACTGCCAACAGCATAAGTGAAAGTTAGCAGCAGGTAACTGTGTAAAGGGCACTTAGCCTGCCGTTTGTCCCCTGAAAACATATTTTTGTGTTCATCCACTATGCTCTGGGCCCTATAATAGAAGCTGTGACTTGGATTGATTGTGACACCCTCAGTCCTGTCTTGTCCTCAGGGAATTCCCAGCTTAGATTCAAAAACAAGATTTGTTTTCTGATCCCAAGCTTATTAAAAACAGGTTTCAGGTGGGCAGCTGTTTCCAAGTGGATGAGCACAATATGCTCATGGCCTGAGTTCTAGGCCAGGACTAAGAGCCCAGCACCTGAGCATCCCAATGCCCCAGAACTCCAGCAATCTTCCTGCAGCCCAGCTTCTTATGGCTAAGAAGCAGAGTCTTCTGTTCCTCAATCTGGGCCAAGAATCAGAAGTCCTAACTCGGCTGCAGAGTACCTCTCTAGCTGTAAGATTTTCCTTTCCATAGCTTTATGTGGGGAGGAGAGAAAGAGAATGTTGAACTCTAAGTGCATGTAAATGTCAATTGTGCATCCAAGAGGAGGGAGAGAAGTAGAGGGGTGTCAGCCTGGCACAGGCCTCCGGGGATCTCTTTAGATGACGAGTCTCATAGTATGATGTCTCCGGCAGACAGGGAGGGTGCCATGTGCCAAGAACACTGTCAACACAAAAAGCAAAGGTTAGTGCCAACTCAGCCCTGGAACTCACCAGCCCTCTCTTCAAAAGAGCACTACCCTGTCTGTCACACTGGAATTGTCTAAAAGTCACCAGAGTCCTATGCATGTGCTTCTCCCCAGCATTAGAGTCAAAGCAGAGAAAAGGAACCGGTGCTTTTTGACTTTTGCTTCTCACTGGTTGGCTCAGAAACGTTTGGATGTGTCTGCATCTCTTGATGTACATCTCCCATTGGAAGTTTGAGGTCATCCATTAGAAATCCTGTGGACAGAAGCCACTGAGGTCTCTGCTTTAATTCCAAGTGCTTTGTGTTAAAGCATCAAGAAGTCTCCTTTGGAACCAGGTTTATTACTTCTGGCTCTAGAAACTTACCAAAACTAGGACTTAGAAAGATGTCTTATTTATTCCATGTTAAAAATAAGAGACAGACAAACAAACAAAAACCAGGAAAGGTTATCAGTTCGGTACAATGGAAGACTTTGCTGGTTTTAAAAAAACACTCTGCAATAGGTCTCAGTGCCTCTAATTATAATATACATTGGGTCCCACATCTTTCTGCATGTATGGAAAAATCAATTTCATTTTACTGCTCCTTAATTCATATAACTGCAATATTCTGAAAGTGTAATTAAAAGACAGAATATGTTCAAATACACTTAGTGGTTTACAACAGAGTAGCAAGAGGCTTGGGTGAAGCTGAGATTAACTTATTGAAGTCAGTCATTGCTCTGGCTCATGACTGCTCCTCAGTGTTTTGCTATAATTTCCATGCATCCAACCTGAAGAGCTGGCACTGAGCATCAGTGTTCTTTCTGTAGAAATAAGACCTGGGAGATGG